TCGGTTCCGACCCATAGTGACCCTGTACAGGGTTTCCGAGGCTGTAAATCTTTACGGGAGCAGAAAGCCTCATCTTTCTCCCGCGGAGCAGCTGGCAGTTTCAAACTGCTGACCTTAAGGTTCGCAGCCCGATTCGCACATGGGGTGAGTTAATTAATTAAATGTTTAACCAAATTTAGCAGGCTAATTTTGAAGTTGGTAGTTTTGTGTGGCCTAAAATGATGTTATAAATGTTGGCAGGAAAAGATTCCCTGCCTCTGATTTACAGTCTCAGAAACCTCTACGAGTAGGAATTCACTCGATGGCACTGCATCAGGTCTGTGGTTTGGTTTGTTTTTGGAAGAGGGATCTAATCAAAAAGAAAGCCAGCAAAAGGTGTTGGTGCGGATGTGAAGAGCTCAGCACCCTCCCCTCACCCACGGCTGGTACAGCCTCAGTGGGAGACTAGTCTAGCGGTTCCTCAAGAAGTTAGAAATTGTTCCTAAACAATTCCACTCCTAGTTTTACTACCTAAGACATTTAAACCATCCACTCATGCAAACATCTGTGCACAAATGTTCAAAGCAGCATTATCCGTAATAGCCAAAAAGTGGAAATGACCCAAACATCTCTCAACTGATAAACAGAAATAAAAATGTGGTAAACTCTTTACGTGTCATAATAAGGGCTAAAATCTCAGGCACACTAAAACACGGGGAACCCTGAAAACACTACACTTACTGGAACAGGCCTTTCTAAGCCTGGCAGGGTTGGGTGTGCCGTGCCAGCTTATCTCTGCAGAGTGATTGGTCAGTACACTCACCCCATTCTCACAATTCTGCTACATGGTGAACACGGTTACACTGTTGATGTTGCTCAGTGCCACTGAGTCGGTTCTGACTCACAGCAACCCTGTATAGGATTTCCACAGAACGACCGGTGAGTTTGAACCACTGACCTTTGGCTAGCAGCCCAGTGCTGATCGTTCAGCGCCAAACCAGGACTCTCCAGACTGCTACAGAGAAACTTCTGTATCTGAGCACACGCCAGGAGCGGGGACTGGCCTTAAATTAGGGCACTGGATTTGTACTGATGCCATGACTTTTAAATGCATACACATCTAAAGTATAATTATCATACATGAGACACGTATATGTCATCCCTGTGAGAGCGGTGGCTCTGTGAGATAAGCACTGGACTGTAAACCACAAGGTCAGCGGTTCCAGCCCACTAGTCACTCCGCAGGAGAGGAGTGAGCCTTTGTATTTCCGCACAGGTTTACAGCTTCAGAAACATTATACAGGGTGGTCACTAGGAGTCCGAACTGACTCAACGGCAGGTAACAACAAGTGATGGCTACATCATCACTAGGAGCTAACACAGTAACAAGCATCATAAAGCAGACATCGTGCATCTATACCCCACACCAAACCCACTGCCACCAAGTGAATTATGGCTCATGGGGACCCGCAGACAGACTACAACGGCTCCTTCGCCTCATTTTTCTTCCACAGAGCAACTGGTGGTTCAAACTATTGACCTTGCAGTTAGAAGTCCAATGCTTATCCCACACTGTCACCAGAGACCTGATAGTGCAGACAAGAAGGAACTAAACCTGTGCTTCATCAGTTCCTTCGTCTACAATCTGAGCTATTTAAATAGGGTGTTGCTGTTAAGTGTCCTGGAGTAGATTCCAACTCATAGTGACCCTGTACAGGGTTTCCAGGGAGCTGCTGCTAAGTCTGAACCACCAACCTTACAGTCAACAGTCCAGTGCTTAAGCTACACAATGGTTGTGGCTGTGTGCCTTGAAGTCGACTACAACAGCAACCCTGTATAGAGGGTTTCTACGGCTGAAAATCTTTATGGAGCAGAAAGCCTCATCTTTTGACCATGAAACAACTGGCAGTTTTGAACTGCTGACCTTGAGGTTAGCAGCCCGACTCGTAACCACTACGCTACCAGAGCACACTCACTCAATGTGTATCAGGGAGCTTCAAAAAACCCACTACTTCTTCATCCCGTGAACTTTTAGAAGCCCCTGCCCGGTATAAGCCATGCTCCATGATGTGCACCTGACTGACTTCCCAGGGTAGCTACTTAGCTCACTTAGGAAATGGAGAGAAGTTGCTTGAACACTAACAAACTAAAAGTGCTGGTGGTGCCAACTGCCACTGGGTTCGCTCTGACTCATGGCCCCCACGAGAGCTGAGAAGCAACGCGCCATACGGTTTTCAATGCTGTGCTCTTCCAACCTCTGGGTGGGTTTGAACTGCCAACCTTTTGGCTAGAAGCCAAATACCTATCTCTTTAGAACACCCAGGTTGTTGTTGTTGTTGAGTGCAGTCAAGTCGGCACCTGTAAAAACTTTACCTAATATAAAGTCTGGAGTCCTGGATTGGCGCTTTGGTAAGCGCTGGACTGCTAACCACAAGGCTGGTGGCTCAAACTTAACTGATGCTCCTTAGAAACCCTCCACAGGGTTGTAATGAGGGAACCAACTTGACAGCACGTAACAGCAACATAAATCTCTTTGAAGTTTGCATTTTGAATCAACATGTTTGTTTGCCCAAATTCAGATGCTCTCATCACTACTGCCTTCTTACAATGAAAGAACACATACTGAGAAAATCCCAAATTCACAAGGCCTTAAGGCAAGACTTCTACTTCAGGATAAGGAGCCCACTGAAACTGTCAACATGAAACTCATCCGTACCCTTTACACGAGAATTCTAACTAAGAAACAGTTTTATGAATCTGTCAAGAAGAAAATGTCCAAAACCCGACGATTTGTACATTACAAGTAGATTAAGCATCCCCCTCCTTTATTTAAATCAGACAATAGGGGGGTGCCCCCCAGGGCAGTGATTTGTTCAGCCGTGAAAACACCATGACTCCGGAACTGGAGCTAGGACGTGGGTACTGAGCAGCCGCTCTCCCAAAGAAAACAGAGGACTTGGGGACACGACACCGGGAAGGTGGGTCAACAGCAGATCTGACACATTTCAGATCCTGAAATAGCAAAACTGAGAAAGGTTGGTCTGATCAATTCAAATCGTCTCTGTGTTACAAAGTCTCTGACTTTTCTTTAGTAAGCCTCAACAGTACAGTCAGTCCGAAATGTTTACATTAGATACTCTGAAAACAAAGCTGAGCCCATGAAGTAATGGATAACTGCGATGGGCAACAGCAAATGTAAACGCTGACCTCAAAGAAGACACAAATTCGAATGCAGTGCTTTGGAAGAATGCTAGCAACGTGGAACCACATAGGTAAGTGTGGGGTCAGTGGTTCAAACTCACCAGCCACTCCTTGGATTGATGAGTCAGAACTGACTCGGCAGCATTTAACAACAGCTTACCCGACAAGAGGACTGACTAATGACAATAATTCTTCCAGTACCTCTGCTATCAGTTAAAAACAAACAACAAAGTCACCACCTTAAGTCTTAAGAGCCACAAACTGAGGTGAGAAAACGAAGCTTTAAAATGTGGACACGAAGATTTGACTGAGACAATCTTCAGACCCAATCAAAACCCACACCCACTGCCTTGAGTCTGTCTTGACCGAGAGGACCCTCTACAAGGTTCCTTCCAAGACGGAGCAGACAGCCTCATCTTTCTCCCCAGGAGTGGCTAGCTAGGGTTTGAACCTCCGGTGATGCAGTCAGCAGTCTCGTGCTTATCCCACAGAGCCACCAGGGTTCCTTAAAGCATCCCATATAACTGTGTGTGTTTTTCAATGTGCACCTGGCTCTAGAAGAGACTCAAAAAAAACAACAACAAGCCACCAGCTCAGAAGCGGCTCAGGATTCGGAAGTTAAGAGCTAGGATGAGCTCTTCTTTCCCCCCGGTGCCCCCTTCACATGCGGCTCTGCAGATGTGCTGACGAGCGCCGTGTGTCGAATGAACAACCGTGGAGTTGTTCACAAGCTCACCTCTGTCTCAACAATAATAAAGGAGATACGAAGATGTCAGCTTCAACTTGGCTACAGAGGACCCCCGCTCTGCCTACTAATTTTAGATCCCACTTTCCAACAACTAAAATAAAGCAGGCATGCTTACTTATAACCCTTTTAACTCTGAACCCCCACAGTCCCAGGTGTAGCTCTGGGTAAAATGTGAGGGGCTTCAAAAAGTTCGGGGAAAACAGAATGAGAAGATCAGAGCATTTTCCCACGAGCCCTTCGAAGCCCTCTTATGCTTGCTAAGTCATCCCAACCACTGTTTCAAAAAGTGTCTGAAAAGAAAACCCCCGCACCCCAGGAGGACATATCATGGTCTAAAATATTTGGGGCAGGGGAAGTTTTCTTTATGTACTTAAATCCCTAACGTTTCCTCTAAAACATCCATTTAGTGAAACATAATTCTCATTTCCTCAAAGACTGATATCAACAACATTTGCAGTTTCTGAGGCAAAGTTATTACCAAAACATACGTATGTTACAGAAGCCAAATGTAAATTATTTAGCAATCTAATATCGAAAAAAGTTCAATTTAATCCTAGATGTTTCAAGTCAACAAATGCACAGTACCTTTACAAAGAAAAAGCAAAAAACAAACACCAATAGGTTTACTTCAGAGAAATGTGAACCAAGGGTAAAAGTGGATTCAGAAGTAGAGAGTTCAACCGAGGCTGACCTCTTAGGGCATGTAAATTCTGCTGGCAACAAACGGGTACGATTTCTACGCTTCAAAGACCTGGCCCAGGAAGTTCAGTTACAAAATGAAAACAGAGTCGGCAGTAAGACTACTGGTGTTCGTTGCCAGGACTGACTCTCTCACCAACCCTGTGCTGTCCCACAGCACCCCCTGAGGCCTGGGGAGTGGAATGTCGCTGGACTCAACCATCCCTGCAGTTGAGCACACAGACCCCTCACAGAGCTGTCCAACGCTGCCCCAACTATCCATCCTTTACTCGGGTCAGTCAGTTGTAGGGTTTATCTTCAAGTCCAGGGCTGACTCAGAGGGTAGAGCGTGTTCCCTAGAGAAAACAACCAACAGAAATCAGAACAGCTACTGCTCATGGGCTCTTCAACACCCAAGGGGAAGCCCAACTTAGTGGGTCAAAACAGCCTTCACCGGCCTCGGGCCTTCCACCTCCACAGGTGGCCAAAACACTGAAGGCATCTAGTGATGGTCCGCAGCTCCTGGCTACAGTTTACACCCAGTTACAGCCAGAAACCCACGGCGCTAATGACACCTTTTCCGGGAAAACTAGCACACAAGCCAGGTGGCTTCTTGCTGAGGAAGAAATATGAGGCAGGGAATAAAAATGGAGAGGATCTCCAGGGCCTTGAACACTGCGTCCTGTGTGTGTGTGTGCACGTAGAGAACAATGAACCACACCACTCAGAAGCAGCCTAAATCTGTACTGGGGGTGGGGGTGTGCCGTGCAGTCGACCCAACTCAGAGTGGCTCTGAAGAGGGATTCTGAGGCTGTGCGAAATCTCCAGGGGAGCAGAAAGCCCTATCTCTCTCCCACCGTGTACCTGCTGGGCTCAAACTTCGGACCCTGTGTTAGCAGTCTAAGCTACCAGGGCTCCTAACTGTGCTTGATGCCATCCACGCTAAACTAGCTCAGGGCTACACGAGTCAGAGTCCAAAGAACAAAAGAGTAATGTGTTGGTTCAGGGCCTGCAATACCGGCCCACCTTTATACCTAAAGGCAAAATGTCAACACACCCAGGCTTTGAGCTTCAAGACAAGCCACGAGAAAACAAGGGTGTCCTTCCACTTTATAAGTTAGGGATTTGTCTACAATAAGATACCAACAACAACAACAATCAAAGGGAATCAAAAACCTCAGACAAATTTCAGAACACTGAAATGTCATCTTGTCCTTTCACACAACGCAGGTCAAATTTTTTTTTAAGAAAACAAACATGCTAATATAGGATGTGCATCCAGAAAGAATGAAGGTGGCCAATTCACTTCTGATTTTTAAATTAACACTATTAGTTATTCAAGTGTGATTCAAAATCACCCTTCTCACTTTCAAACAGTAACACAGAAAACTTTAGATTTCTAGGCAAAACATCTCAAAGCCTGAGCGCTATCGTGTACAGACTATTCCCACTCATTAGGGTACAGCCAGCTGGTACTGCAGAAACTCACAGTAGATGGAGATTAGCTGGAGTCCTGGTGTGGCGCTGCAGGCTAAGCAGTGGACTGCAAGGTTGGCGGTTCCAACCCACCAGCCGCTCCTTGGAAACCTTACACAGGGTCGGTATGAGTTGGAGTCGACTTGACAGCACTTGACAACAACACCAGCATAAATAATTCACAGAAACACAGGCATGCACCAGCATATGTAATTATGTGATTTGGACATCTTCAAACACCATGTAGTGTATGTTTATACACATTCAATACACAGGTAACACAGGCACCCCACACACACTCAACACAGCTGCTTTGCGTGAGCACCTGCACACTCTTTGAACGGCCACAGGGAGCCTGGTCCGAACTGGCAGCCCCCGAGGGACAGAGCAGCCTCAGCCATGCACCAATGGCAGCCATACGGTCCACAGTGGTGGCTCTGGGGGAAGCTGCTGATTCAAAGAGACTCACCACAGTGGTCTCAAGTTTGATGTCTGCTCCAACTTCCGGTGCCCTTCCGAACAAGCTTCTCCTCCTGTCCCATGAACATGTATATGCTGCCGTAATGGCCGTAATGTCAAGTATCTGTGTGTGGGTATGTATACACATGAACATAACTTTATATGTATTTAGTATCTATTGATTCTGCACTTTCTCACCTTTTCTCAACTCAGGTTTCAGGACAAACACATCTCTGTTGGAAGAAGTACAGATGGCCTGACTTCATCGCACGTACTTTGGTCCTGTTGTCATGAGAAGGACATCATGCTTGGTAAAGTGGAGGGTCAGCCCCCAAAAGGAAAGCCCCTGATGACAATATGAGCAGAGGGGCAACAACAGCGGGTTCCAACACTAACACTGTGAGGAAGGCGCAGAGTGGGGCTCTTTCCTTCTGGTGTACAGACGGTCACTGTGAGTTGGAACTGACTCGATGGTACCTAACAAGGTAAGCAAGGAGCTCTGATGGCGTAGTGGATTATGGACTGAGCTACTAACTGCAAGGTCAGCAGTTCGAATCCACCAGCCGCTCCACGGGACAAAGATGAGCCTTTCTGTTCCACGTCAGAAACGCTTTACAACGTCGCTGTGAGTCCGAATTGACTTGATGGCAGTGGGTTTATGTCTCCGTTTGTGTTGTTTCTTTTTTAACTAAGCTACGTCACTCATTATATGAATTGTCACGTAAAACTTGGGGAAACAACAAACTGGTAACTAATATCACTTTCTGTAGTCTGTGGTTTTGATGAGAAAGGTTGCGACTTTTCTTACCCCCTTCACCTGTACTGTGCTGGTCAGCCCCCTCCGATGGACAAGGAGGACTGTGTCAGGAGTTCCCAAACCACCTGTCCAGCAGACGCGCCCAGGCAATACGTCGTTTGATTTCTTAATGGCTGCTTCCGTGAGTGTCGATGGTGGATCCGAGCAAAATGAAGTCTTTGACATCTTTCAGTCTTTTCTCCGTTGCTATGGATGCTGTTTATTGGTCCAGTGGTGATTTCTGTTTTCTTTCCATTAAGGAACAACTCATGGAAAGCTGTGGTCTTTGACCTTCATCAGTAAGTATTCTGAGTCCTTTTTGCCTTCAGCAACCAAGGTCGTATCATCTGCAGATTGCAGGCTGTTAACTTCCTCCAATCCTGATGGTAACTTTTTCTCCATATAATCCAGCTTCTCGAATTATTTTCTCAGAATACAGACTGAATAAGTATGGTAGAAGAATGCAACCCTGGTGCAAACCTTTCCGAATTTTAAACCATTTGGTGTTTTCTTGTTCTGTTCTAAACTGCCTCTTGGTCTTCATGAGCACAATCAAGTGTCCAGAATACTCATTAATATTTTAATAAATATTAAGTTATTAAAACATAACACTTTATTTATAAACATATAGACATGGAGTCCTGGTGTGTCACTGTGTGTTAGGGACTAGACCGCGAGGTCCAATGCCTGCTCAAACATTTTTCAGACAGTAATGGTCACTTGACTCAAGCCCACCAAAGCCCTAATGAGAAAAACCAAGTCTTCTTCACTAAGTAGTTGGAATAGGGAGCAGTAAAGCCTTGCTCAATTCTGAAACGAATGGCAAGCAGACCCAGAGAAGCCAGGGCATGCTGCTCCAATTCAGAGATTTTCATACAGCGAGGCTAACTTGAGAGTGGATGGAAACAGGGAATGAAAGGAGCCCACTTAGCATGCCTGGGCTACACGGACAGTCCACAGACACTCACATCCAGACGGGCTGGCTCAGGACTTTCCTGTCAAGCCTGAACTCCTAATAGAGATATGGGGAGGAGGTAACATCTTCCTCGGATCACAGCATACAGAGTTAGACACGTCTGCGGGCCTGTCCACTGTCCCCACCTCCTCAACATTCCATCGTAAGCAGGAGTGGACGTCAGAACAATCTGAGCGGCTCTCTACAGCCAGACATCTACTGAACCTGGGGGGGTGGGGGGATTTGGGGGTTGAGGGGTCCAGATAGCAGGCTCAGGGATGTACTGATATACACCGAAGCTAATTTTTAAAGACTGAGTTAAGTTCTTCAACAAAAATTTAATTATGAGCTTCTTCTATTAAGGGTCAAACCATAAAAAAAATTCTGTTATATTCATAAATCTTTCATGGACATGAACACAGGTGAATTTTAAGGTCACACAACCTAATAACTCAAGTGTTATCATGTTAGCCCAACCGGCTGAAATGAATAGTGGCACAGAAAAGGACCACTTTATAAAATGTTTAAAATCTTTATAAAATGTATAAAATGTATAAAATCTTTACATCTGATTGCCCCACTGGATTTAGCTGGAACACAGCATTCCTTCATAATTCTAAATCTAAACAACTACTTCTGAGGGGTATTCTTATACCTCTCTGGGAACATTGTTGTCAAGTGCTGTTGAGACGGTTCCAACTCACAGTGTCCCTGTAAAGGGTTTTCCCAAGGAGCAGCTGGTAAATTGGAACCACCGACCTTGAGGTCCAGTGCATTATCCCACAGTGCTACACACACCAGGACTCCGTCTGTGAACAGTGTAATTATTGCTGTGAAGTGCTGTTGAGTTGGTTCCGACCCACAGCGACTCTGTGTAGGGTTTCCAAGGAGCGGCTGGTGAGCTTGCAGTCTAGCGCATTGACCCGCAGCACTACCCCGATACCCCTATGTGCACACAGGCACGTAATAAAATTATCTCCAGCAGTGATGGAGAAGAAGCAAAATCTCTTGAAGAAACTTAACATCCTCAAATGTTTTCAACATTTAAAAAACTGTAATTTGTGTTCATATTTATTTTGCCAAGCGAGATGTTTTTTGTGTTTTTTAAAATTTCTACAGAAATAAACTACTTTTTACTTGAGAAAAACTTTAGATTGCAAATACTATCCTTGCATAGACATAAAGAAGCAAAGTTCAGGGGGTTCGACAGGTTCAGCCTGATCCTTGCCTGTAAAACTGTGGAAGCCTGTTGGGTCTCTGGCCCAATTTTACGGCATCCTGGGCTAACTCTACACAGCCTTCAAGGACCAGAAAAATGATCAACACACAAATAAACGGCAAGATAAACTAAGGCACAACACCACACGATATATACTTTTCCTCTCAAAGAAACAGAAGGAGGCACTCCAAGAATGATCCTGTCATTTTATCCAAAATATGAGGAAGCAGCATGCTCAACAAGTCCCAGAAATCCCTGCTCCACTGTGCAAGAGGAGATGCAGCAGGATTTAAAACGCAGAACCAGCTGAGACCCGGTACTATGGGACGTACTAGAAAGGGGGAGGGCCCAGGGGGCCATGGGGATGTAACATACAAGATACGCAGAATGGTTTACCAAGCAAAAGCCCAATGGCCTTTCATAGTGCCGTCCATTTAATTGCTTCACTCCT